TTTTTGGATTGCTGCAGGTCGCCGTAGTGGACGTGCCAGGACCTGCTGCATTCGATAATCTAGAAAATTATTTATACGTGAAGTGAAGTGAAGAAAAGAAAATAATTTACGGCGATATATATCGATAAAAGAAACGGCATGTTACCGATATAAAAGTTCAGAAACTAATCCATTTGATGCTAATGGCGCGGGATCCGTCCCCCTTCTGGAAAATCTGTCTGCCAATGACGCGAAACAACGAAGCGCCCCATCTGCAACATGTGCATCCTCGTGTCTGAGTAGTACGGACAGAGCCTCGACGCAATCGGGCAAAGCTTTATCTTGAGGTTCAACTTTGCCGCATAGTCGAGTAACGACCGCCATCGCTGAGTGTAACGTATCCCGATGTACGCGCGCTCCGTGCTCTCGAATGAAACACAACGCACAAGGCAGACCACCAGCTTCAAACACGGCACCAGCCTCTCTGGCGCATACAAGTTCCAATACCTAATTTCAAATATAAAATTGTCATTCGATTATCTTGTCGCATATAATTAAGACTTGACACGCGTATATAGATATTTGACTTGTGGGATTGGATATATTATACCTTTATGCATTGCTCCGCCAAGTCTCGGCTAGCTCTAGAGCCAAGTCCAGCGCCAGAGAGTCGGCTACAGATAGCTTTCACGGCACCTTCCATAGCGACCACTCTGCGCGTACATTCCGCGGAGACATCCAAGTAATATGTGATAGCTCGAGCGGTTACTTCGAGAACACTGTCTGGTACCAAATCATCCAGAAAGATTCTGCAAAGGGCTGGAAGGAACGTGCGCGGAGGACAACTACAAATATAAAAAAATCATATAACAATATATTGTATATACAATGCTACAGATTACACGTGATTATTTTACCATTCGAAGCAACGATCCACATTGTCGGACATGAGCAAGAGCATGCATAATTGTTCCAATGCTATTAATTGCATGTCTCTTTCGTCTCCTTGTCCCATGCTGAGCCATTCTAGCAAAGTCTCAGGATCGACATCTGCCATCTCAAGAAGAAAACGAGATATCAATTCTTATATCTAATATATATCTAATATATCCAAGGTAACAATATCAAAAATGGTTATTTTCTAGGAAAGATATTTTTTTTAATTCATGCAAGCTATCGAAAATTGAGCAAATTGATGGAAATGAAGAAACTGAAACTGACTAGCGTAAAAACTTTTAGGATAATTATCGCATGGTCTCTGTATACATGATAAAAATTTTCGACGAGCTAATATGATGACTCTTTGAATAGAATAAACAAGTGATGAAATTTCACACAAAGCTGGAATAAACTAAAGAATGGACGAAATATTCATTAATCGCCATAAATTGCTACAATTATATTCATTGCAAAATATAATTTGATAAATATAAAATTTATTTCATCACACTTACTTTATATTTAGAATAGCACCGATCAAGTTGATTTTATTTCAGTACTCTGAAAATTAAATGGAAAACACAAATTGCATTAATCCACTGATCATGTTTTATTTGAAAAATAAAAATAGATCGAACAAGCATCATGAGAGTGCACTGTCATTATATAAATATTCGTTCCGTTCAATCATGATATAAATCATAATTGTTAAACATATGTAAATTGTAACACTCTCCACTAATTTTATAGAGCAATACAATAGTGTTTTTTCTGGCAGCTTGCCATTTCTCTTTTACGAGATATTAAAGAGTCGAATGTAGAGAATCGCTCATCACGACACAGAGACATTGACAGGCTTGACAAGAAATGCTATTACTGTATATTAACGTCTCTATACAAATACGATTGTTACGATCAAGTTGTACAACAAAGATTGAAAAAAATCCATCGCAAGGACAATGCGAGATGGAGTGATACCTAACCGTGTGTAACCTTCAATATGTGACTTGGGTCAGTTGATCGAGACACAAAATAAGACAAAAAGATAGCGCGATCAAGGTAATAATAGTGTACTTTGATAGATTTATTTTATAT